CATTGGCATGATCTTGCCTCACTGCACCCTCTGCCTCCCGGGTTCAAGTGATTCTCCCTCCTCAGCCTCCCGAGTAGCTGAGACTAACTAGTGCCTGCGACCGTGCCCGGCTAATTTTTGTATTTTGAGTAGAGACGGAGTTTCACCATGTTGGCCAGGCTGGTCTCAAACTCCTGGCCTCAGGTAATCTGCCTGCCTCAGCCTACCAAAGTGTTGGGATTACAGGTGTGAGCCACCTTGCCCAGCCTCCCACAGACTCCTAATTAATGCATTTATGCACCCACACTTGCAGTACTCATTAAGCAGCCACTGTGGGACCATCACTGTGATGCTGCCACCTTCATTAAGGTACTCAAAATGGAGAGTGGTCAACAGCATCCTCACCCCTTCCTGCCATCCTGGTCCTGGCACCCCTCCCAAGGATGTTTCTCTGCCCCCTCCCACCTCAGCAGCCCTCCCTCCTGGAAGGCATGAAACAGCTTTGTCTGCTCTTTGGGTTTCTAAATTTCCCTTCCTTTCTCTGCCTCCTGTCCTTCCTGTAGCTGTGACTCCCTGACACTGGTATTTCCAGACATCTCTCCTGCTATGTCTCAACCTGCATTCATCTGGCCTCTTCCCCACCTGAAACCTATTTCCAAGTTTCCTCCTCTGTAACCAGCCCCCATCGTCCTGGCCCCTGGCCTCCTGCTGCTTCCTGCCACCTCCAGGTGCTGTCCACACTTCGCTCAAGCCGTCCTCCCCCTGCCCAGGTCTCAGTCCCTGCTCAAAGCTTCCTCTTCTCCCACCTCCTTGTGGCCACACCCAGCCCCTCCGGCCCTTTGCTGCACAGCTTTTGAATATACTTTTGTCATCCTCTGGTTTGGAGCTGCCAGCAGACAGCCAGGCCATCCCTTGGGCCCATTCACACAATTCCAAACTAGTCCAGCTTCCTTTAGACATGTCCTGAGACGGAAGCCTCACCACTTCCCAGGAGAGCCTGGCCCTCAGCTGTGCCAGCTCACCCCAGACCCTGCACTGTTGTGGTCTCCAAGCCTGGGATTTCTTGGGATTGCTGCCCTAACTCTGGCTCTCTCCCTTCCTCACATATACCCGCAGACCCTTAGCTATAGACTATTTCCTGTCCCCTCAACACCCCTGGGCTTTCTGTGCCCCCTGCGGGAATGCTTTTCCCCAGCTCCAGGACTAGCTCAGCCTCCTCCAGAGTTCAGTGCTCCTGCGCTGCAGCCAGTCTCTAGGCAACGTCCCTCCGTTAAGAGGCAGGGTCCTAGAGGCCAGCAGATCTGGGTTAAAATCTGCCACACGGTTCCCTTGTAGCCTGGGATCAATGACAATCCCTCACTCTCTTCCTTTATGAAGGGGGCAGGGGACAATAGCCATCTCAGGGGCCTGCTGCAGGAAGGAGAGCTTCCATTCTACTTTCGCATCACAGCACCTCTCATTTTCACTCCTGCGCTCCAGTGAGGCCATTGCACAAGGTGGCTCTGAGTGGGGCTCTGGAGCCCAGCTGCCAGGTTTCAACCAAAGTTCCACTGTTCCTACCTCTGTGACCTGGAGCAAATCACTTTACTTCTCTGCTTACTTCTTCATCTGTAAAATGGGATGATGGCACCTACCTTGTTGTAGGGCTGTTGTGAGGCTAAGATGATATTTTATTACAAGGCCTAGCACAGAGTAAGCCTTTGCTAACTGTTGGTGACTTTTTTTTTAAAGTGATGGGGCCTTGCTCTGTCACCCTTGACCTCCTGGGCTCAAGCAATCCTCCCTCTTCAGCCTCCTGAGTAGCTGGGGCTGCAGGTAACCACCATCACACCCAGCTAATTTTATTTTTTGTAGAGATGGGGTCTCACTTTGTTGCCCAGACTGGTCTTAAATTTTGGGCTCCCTCTGTCCTCCAGCCTTGGCCTCCCAAAGGGCTGGGATTACAGGTGTTTGACACTGTGGCTGACCTTGTTGGTGACTTCTATGGTACAATTTTATGTCCTGTTTCCCCAAGGCAAATTTTAAATTCTGCTAGGCTAACACGCGCCTTAAACCATTTTTCTATCTATTCTGCTTTGGCTGTCTTCAGTACTGAATTTGTCCCCCTTAACCAACTCTCGGATGGACCCAATACGCAAAACACATTTTTGAAAACGGAATTGCTGGGGCCAGGTGTAGTGGCTCATGCCTGTAATCCCAGCACTTTGGGAGGCTGAGGCGGGTGGATCACCTGGAGTTCAAGATCAGCCTGGCCAACATGGTAAAACCCCGTCTCTCCTAAAAATACAAAAATTAGCCAGGCATGGCGGCAGGCACCTGTAATCCCAGCTATTCGGGACTCTGAGGCATGAGAATCACTTGAACTTGGGAGGCAGACGTTGCAATGAATCGAGGTCGTGCCACTGCACTCCAGCCTGGGTGACAGAGCGAAACTCTGTCTCAAAAAGAAAAAAGCAAAGAAAATGGAATTGCTCCAAAGTGGGGAGGAGGCACCTTTGCCTTGCCCTGGAGAAATCCCAGGCTTGGAGACCACAGCACTGCAGGGTCTGGGGTGAGCTGGCAGATGCCTGGCCCAGGACCCCATGGCCAGCTGCTAGAGCATGTCCTCAGGGCCACCTTCAGGACAGAGACCAAATCCTTGGCTAATTCAACTGAAGTGATGCATGGGCAGGGTTGGGAAAGGGTTCAGGGAGGAAGTGGCTTTTAAGCTGGGCCTTGGTTAGGCAGGGCCACCATGAGGGGGACGGTGAAGAACAAAGGATCGGAGGCAGGAGAGGGCTGGATGGATACAGGGGCCAGAGGCTGGCCATACTCTTGGCTCATCCCTAACTCTGCACTCCTAGGGGCGGTGGGGACGGCAGTGGAGGCCCTACTCAGCCCTAACCCCAATCCTACAAGTCCTTTCCAACAAAGACGATGGAAGGGTTTCAATGCTCACCTGCCTCAAGGGGAAAGCTTTGGAATGGGGGATGTAGAATGGCAGGGAATTCCCGACTGAGCAGGGATGGGATATACCTGAGGGATGCTGATGGCTCCAAGCACTGGACACAGACTCAACTATGGCGCAGGCAACCAGACCCTTGTCAAGGGGCAGAGGGTCCCAAGAATACCAAGACACTATGAGCTGAGGGGCAAGGGGGGCCCAGAGAGGGAGAAAACAATGGCAGGGCAGCAACTGGAGCCAAAACTCTTTATTGTCCTGCCCAGGGAGCCCTTCCCAAAGGAATCCAAGGAGCAGGGGTGCGAGGCAGGTGGCACAGGGCCTTGGTGACAATGAGAAAAAAGGGGGAGCTGGAGTCAGGTGGGGGACAGCCCCTCCAGCTCCCTGATGGCACTGGTTGTGCTGGCAGGCCACCCGGGGGTGCCATCATCAGCATATCTTGGACCCAGGGGAGCCATCACCGGTGTGAGGCCCATACCTGGGGCTGGGGCTGAGCTGTCTACACTGCTCTCTCTACAGGGTCACTCTGGCGCTTGTCACCTCTACTCACCTCTCCAGCTCCAAACTGCAAAGGGAGATGGGCCCAATACTGGGAGGCCCTGGGAGAGTGAAGAGGGAGCTGTATGGGTTGGAGGATGTCAAATGGGCACACATGTCCCCTGGGTAGCTGCCAGCAGAAGTCTGACAAAGGGGCCCAGCCAGCCCCCCTGGACCATTCTAGAGGCCAGTGGGGAAGGCTCCAGGGCAGCTTCACTTATAGAGACTCCTAAGTGTACCTCACACTATGCTGGGACCAGAGCTAATGCAGGACAGGCTCCCAATCCAGCTCTGGTCCCAGGGCACCTTGTTAGGTGAGCCTAAATGCCCTCCCCTCCCTGTACTGGGCGCCAGGCTGAGGCAGGAGCCCAGCAGGGAGTGACAGGAGCAGCTCTACAGAGGAAAGCCAAAGCCTTTCAACAGAGGAACAAAGAGGGCCTCCAGGGCCAGAGTCACAGGCCTGGAGAGGAAGGGACAGGGTGCTTCTGAGAGGTGCAAACTTCGCCTCATGCTGGTCCTCAACCCTTGCATCCTGCCAGCCCCAACGCCCGGTACACAACAGCAGGCCCAACCCTGCCTTCTGGGGTGAGGAGAAAAAAATCTGGAACCAAAAGGGAATGGCAGCTGTTTCCTCAGGACCTTGGTGGGTGCAGGGCAATGGACAGCCATCACCGGAGGTTAAAGACCAGACTGACAGTGAGGATGATGCCCAGGAGAAGGATGAAGGGCAGCCAGGTCTTCACGAAAGCCCCGACGCTGACAGAGAGAAAGGAGAGAGCACAGGTGGGTGGGGTCCATTGAGCAGGCGTGGGGCCCAGAGCCCTGTGCGCCCATAGACCCCGAAGAGGCTGCAATCCCTAAGGAAAACCCTGTACCCACCCCCTCACCCCAAACTTGGCCAATCAAGGGAGCAGGCTGGGCCTGGTGCCCACTATGGGGGATCAGCAGCTATGGTCCTGGGCAGGGGCTGTTCCACATTCCTGGTGGAGATTTACTGACACCTCACTGGTTGGGAATAGAAGACATGCTTGCTGTTTCTAGGCCTCACTGGCTCTATCTATAGCCACCCACCTCTAGGGTGAAGTCTCCAGCAAGAGGACCAGGAACTGCAGTTTGGGTGTGGAAGCCACGTGTGCCTGCTGCCACGGCCCTCATAATGGGGACTACTGGGAGGCCTTGGGGCCAGCAAGGGTCAGCAGTGTTGTGGCTGCAACCAAGCTGCTGGGAGCCAGGGGCCTGGATTCAACCTCTGTGTGACCAGTTATTCTCAGGGGACTTCTAAAAGCCCTGCAGGACTTAAAAATACCCCTAAAACTCTTCTTTTCAGAAGCTCTGAATGATGAACATGGCTGAGAGGAAAGCTTGGAGAGGCGGCCACAACAGCACCAGCCTATGCTGGATCATGAGTCTGGGCTCTGCTGTGGCCATGCTGTGGGGACCGTGGGTGACTCACTCAACCTCTCTGCCTGGGAAGGGACCTGTGGGGGCAGTCATTCTGTGAGGATCTATCTGTTCGCTTCACTGGAGCACAGGAATCTGTAGAAGCTTCCCTGAGGAGCCAGAATCATTGCCTGCATTTCACCAAGGACAGCTGTGGCTCAGAGAGGCCAAGGCAGCCACCCACAGTCTCACGGCGGGCAGGTGACAGAGCTGCACCTGGGGCCCAGGTGGAGCTGGACCAGCACAGCCACCTCCCTCTCCACCAGGCCCTCAGCTCGCTACTCTAGAGCCACCACGGCTCCAACTGGCATCTATTCCAGCTGTCCCGGCTGACTGAAGGGTGTCAGGAATGGTCTTTCTAGGATCCTTGGGAGAGCAGCCCCTGGGCAGCATGTAGGTGGGCGGGCAGGAGGGCAGCTCACCTGACGTACTTCCCATAGAGCAGGCAGAAGAAGCAGAGCGTCACCATGTTCCAGTTGGTGCTATTGTTGTAGCGCATCAGATTCAGGGCCAATGCCACGTGCGAGTGGCAGTTGTCACAGCAGAGATTGTGCTGGAGGCACCGGAAGGGCTAGTCAGGGCAAGCTGTTGGGGAGCCTCCTCCCTGGTCCCCGCCTGGGGAGTGCTGGCGCCACCCCAGTCCACCTACCATGCGGTGCTTGTACTCCTCAGAGGCGTCGTGCACAGCCGTGTCCCATGCGTTGGGCCCGCTAGCATAGACCTGAGCAGGGTCCAACTTCCAGTACCTGGGGGGAGAAAAGGGCTCTGGACGCTGGCTCAGCTCCCTTGTGCCCTCGGCTCTAAGCATGACCTTTGAGGCCTGTCCTGTGCCTGGGCCTGAGCTGGGTGTCAAGGTGTGCAGGGAGCCAGATCTGGGGCAAGTGTTGTGTAGCAGACAACTGTGACACAGGGTGAGGTGCTTGGTGCCACGGGGGATCCTGAAAGCTCTGAAAGTCTGTGTCCCTGTCAAGTTCATATGTTGAAATATTACCCCCTAAGGTGATGATGTTATGAGGAGGTGGGGCCTTTGGGAGGTGATTAGGTCATGGGGTGATTAGGACCAAGAGGGTGATTAGCCCTCATGAATGGGAACAGTGTCCTTATAAAAGAGGCCCGAGGGAGACCTCTCACCGCCTCCACCATTTGGGGACACAGTGGGAAGGCACCTCAGGCCCTCGCTAGACACTGACTCTACCAGCACCTGCACTAGGATTGTCCAGTCTTCAGAACTGTGAGATACATTTCTGTTGTTTCTAAAATACCCAGTCGATGACATTTTGTTATGGCAGCCAGAACGGACTAAGAAGCGGTGTGAGAAGGCTTCCTGGAGGTGACACCTGGGTCTGGTCTGAAGGAAGAGGGTTAGACAGGCATAGAAAGAAGAGTTGTGAATTCCCAGCTGAGGGAACAACTTAAAGTGAGAGGCATAAAACTGTGCAGTGTGTCCCAGAACAGAAGTGATTGAGCCCTCCTGGAGACTGTGGAAGGAGAAACACGGTAATGGAATGCTGGCAGTGGAGGCTGGCGATGCAGGTGGGGCCACATCACACGAGGAGTTTACTCAGCAGCAAGCACTCTCCCCCAGTCTCCCATGTAGCTTGCCAGGCTGAATGAGAGGGAAGCTGATGGCACTAAAGCCCATAAACCTGAAGGTGGGTGAGAACTGCTGTTCCAAGCAACAGAGTGCCCGGTGGGTCTCAGGCCTGGGAGAGCTGGGAGGTCTGGGTGCCCCCTGGCTGCCATGTAGGGAAATGGCTTGGTGGAGGAGTCTAGAGACCATGGGGCCATTTAGGGGCTACAGCTTGGAAAATGGTGCCATTAAAAATGTCCTTGAAAAGCAGCCTGGCAATGAACACCTGGTGGCCCAGAGACTCCTGGACTACACTGCCACCTGCCTGAGGAAGCTCTGTTCCAGGGCATCTCGGCTGTGTGGGAAACCAACTCCTCCTCGGCCCAGTCCTTCCTCCAGTGCAGCCTTGGGCAACAGGTCACCTGAGGACACTGATGACTGAGGCACCGTCACCAGGCCCACAGCTGAAGTGGGCACCCAGGCTGTAAAGATGAAGACCAAACATCCCAAACCAAACCAGCAATAGCTCCCAGCAGGCTTAACTGTTTTTATTCTCTCTAACTAGCACTTTCCAGCAGAGGTCCAAACAATGCCACTCCTCTACCTTCCACAGCTCACTTGCTCCCAAAGGGCAGGAAAGTGAGTCTGGAGGGAGATAGACCTGAGTGTGAGTCCCAGTTCTGCCACTTCCTAACTGTGTGACCTTGACCAAGTCCCTTTCCTTTCCTCACCCCTGCCATAGAGTTGAAAGCACAAACCTGAAGAGCTGTGGCAAGGCCCAGAAGGTCTATGAGTAAAGGTCCTAGCCAGGGGCTGGTGCAGTAGATGCTCTGTATGGGGCTGCCATGCTCTGGTGGACCCTGGCTGTCCCTCCCCCAGTACTCTATCCTCAGCATGCTGGCTCCTGCTGTGCTCTAGAAGGCCTGGGCCGCTGGGGCAGGAATAACCTGCCTCTAGGGCCAGTCACATGGGTGTTCATCACTTACTTGGCAGGCTTTCCAAAGGCCATGTTGTCCTCCTGTTGAGGGACAAGAGCAGAGGTCAGTGAGGAACTTATATTCAGGCCAGGGGACAAACCTGGGTTGGCTGCTGAAGTGCAGTGACTTAGAATAGGGAATGTCAGGGGTGGTCACAAGTGGGGCCTGGGCCATGCCCCAAGGCTGGCATAGCATCTAAAGAGCCAGTGGCTTTTCTGCAGGAAGAAGGCAGTGTGGCACAAGTGCATAGAGCACTGCATCAGAGACCAAAGACTTGGGGCTCCAGCTGCCACTGCCCAATTCAGCCACTGCCCAATTCAGCCACTGCCCCTTGGTGTGGCACCCAGGAATTCTCTTGCTCTCTCTGGGCCTCATTTTCTCCAAGTTTTGTGATCAGTCTTCTCTGATCTCTAAGGAGCAGCAGGAAGTTTCCATCATGGTCTGGTCTTCCGACTCAACAGTGGTGGCCCATATGAAGCCCATCTCCGTGCCCAGCAGTCTGACTGCATTCAGAGCAGGGAGGGGACACTGGGCCCAGAGGGGCTTCCTGTGAGGGAGACACTGCAGTGAAGTCCTAGACTCATCAAATTAGACCTGGGGTACAGGAGTTACACAGAGACAGACTCTGGGTTCAGATCAG